GACTAGCTAGGGACTGTTTTCAGGGGTTGTTGCTAGAGGGGATACAGCTGCGAGAGAACAACACAGACTCAATGTCCTCAACAAAACATTGACTCTGTTGATGATTGTTCCACTCATTTAAACTAACACTCCACTTTTATTTTTTATTTTTTTATTTTTAATTAATTAATTTTTTTTACATATTTTTTTTAATTTAATTTTTTAATTTTTTAATTTTTTTTTTTTTTTGTGAAATGGGGTCATTTTACATCTCCCCTTGTGTTAAACAATGGAGTTTTACCATTTTTAAATCAATTCAGCTGATCTCTGGGTTTTCTGCAGGGCTTTTAGCTTAGCTTAGCATAAATAATTGAATTGGATTAGACCATTAGCATCTTGCTCAAAAACATCATATTTAAAGCTTGACTTTTCTGTAGTTACATTGTGTACCAATACCAACAGAAAGTGAATTGTATGCCATTATGACTATAAACTATACTCTAATTTTGGCATAATGATCAGGAAAAATTTGTTGCCGTACCATTTGCTGCACTAAGTGCAATGATATTATGCAGCACTGTTACCTAGCTGAAGACTGTTTTCCAGGTTTGTTGCTAGAAGGGATACAGCTGTGGCCGGAGTTTAACACAAATTATTTAATTTTTTTTGTATTTTATTAACATATACTCCTACCCCAACTGTAAACCCAGTCATCATAGTAATGTAAAGACAATAATCATACTGAGTATTATTCATATTATTTATTCAATTACCGATTAGTTAGATCTTTTATTTTCTTACCCCTATCCCAACCCCAAACCCAACCCTCACAGCAATGTAAACAATCCAGGCTGATTACTGATATGTACCCCTGTATACATTTCTTGAAATCACGAAATACATCCCAGGAGGTACCTTTTTTTTTTTTTTTTTTCAGTTTTTGTTTTCGCAAATCCACCAGAGGTTGCTGTGTGCATTTTTTCAGATCTCAAATTTTTCTCTGGAGTGCCATTTGAGCATGCTGTACACACGTAACACTACAGGGCCGATGTTGACTGACTAATGAATGGTTGACTAACTGACTGATTGATCAATAACTCCAACCACCATCTTTTCTAAACCCAACCGATAGTGTTTTCAAAAGCATTGATTGACTTGATCAACACTTCCCTAAACCCAACCGACAGTGTTTTCAAAAGCAATCTAGAAAATGAAAAGCTCTTACAGCCACGTAGCTTTTACCATGTTTTCAGATCATTACCCTGTTATTTAGTACACTCTCAGAAATAAAGGGAACTGTCACTGTCACATTTTAGGTACTTTTGGGCACTAATATGCACCTTTGAGGTACCACTGTGGACTCTTTGGGTACAAATATGTATCTTTTGAAAAGGTACTGCCCCAGTGACAGGTCCTGTACCTTTATTTCTGAGAGTGAGAGTTTAATTTTTGTTTTTTGTTTTACCTGCTTACTGGAAATGTTCTTTGCCAGTCTTGAACGCTGTCATCTGGGTCAACTTCTTTCTGTACCTTAAGTCTGGCAGCTTACATGGTGAGCTACTAGTAACAGTGTAAAAGTGTAAAAGCCATCCACGAGTAGGTTAGCGGTCAGCCCATATCGAAAAAAAAAAAAAAAAAAAAAAACAAGCTGTCGACAGCATCATACCATCCCGTAGCGTTTGTTTTAAAGAAGAAATGCAGTCACACGTAGCTTTGGCTACATAATTTGCACTCTCCAGAAATGTATACAGGGGTACGTTTTCAAAATGAGCCTGTGTTAAATGTAAAAGTTTTAATTATTGCTGTGCAGTGAGTATGTGCAGTGTATGAGTATGTGCAGTGAGTATAACAAAAAGAATGCTATATTGATGTGCATATCTGCAGTTTAAGTGCTACATAATATCATTGTGCCTGCTGCAGCAATGTTCCTTGATCATTGCCCTGAATTGCGAAAATAGTTAGCCTACACTGTAAAAAAAATCTTGGGTGCCTTAAATTTTTAAGCCGAATTAAATTAACCTTATTAGTCCACTGAACTCATATTATGTTCAACTGACTTAAAACAGCTTGCGTAACTTATAAAACTAAGTTAGAACATGATTTACTTAGATTAATAAGTTACAATGACCTAAAAACATATACTGTCAGGACTAATTGATCATACATTTTTTTTTTACAGTGTAGAAAATGAGTGAGATGCTAATGGTCTAATCTAATTCAATGATGTGTGCTAAGCTAAGCTAAAGTGCTCCTGCCAGACTGAGAGATGAGCTGAGTGGTTTCAAAAATGCTAAAACTCAACTGTTTAACTTAAGGTAACTTAGAAAATATGCCTATTAAATATGCCTAATATGCCAAAAAAACCTTGTGTGCACAGCCATAGTGATATTTTTCCATGAGAAGCTTTTATCATTTGCAGGCTTGACCGACAGTGATTAACCATTCAAGTCTGTTAGTGAAAACACAACCCCGCCATAGTCTTTCAATGTAATTGCTGTTGTCCTGTCTGCAAGTTACTGCTATATTTCTCCAGAGCTTTATAAAAGCAGTCTGGGCCAGCATTGTCTTTAGGGAATACATCTGCCAGTGTTCAGCACAGCTTCGTTCACTCATGCTATCTGGCTCCAAACACCCTCCGCTCTTGTTCCCTCCCTAGCATATTCCCCTTAAGACCATATCAGACACGGATCATTTAGGGAAACTGGGTTATTTCTGTCCACACCTGACTGTGTTCTGATGGATGTCTGGAGCCATAATGCAGCTTGTGTCTGCGCATTTGTCGTGCTTATTATTGCTGGGGGAAACTTTTACAGCGCTCTTCTTTTTTTTTTTTTGTGACCTCATGATTTTGACATCTCGAGTGCTAAGAGACTGGGGGTGAGTTTGACAGAAGAACTTCACTCCTGGAAACCGGATGAACAAATAGGTTAATAATGAATAGACTGCAAACATGCTAAAAGATTGAAATATTGCCAGAGGCCTGTCTGATATCTGAAAATCCAAGCAGCCGCCTGGTCTGTCCAGATTACTCGCAGACCGTCAACCTGAATAATGATTGACAGGGTTTTTTTGTTTGTTTTTTTTTTAACTATGGCAGAGCTTTTGTGTCAGAGTAGGTCAATGCTGCAGGTTTGTTTAAGAAAGATTGTGTGGTTTTGAATGGTTGTTTGTGAAAGCAGAGTCAAGGCGGATTAAAATGATTGAAGATGAACTATGATGAAGACTGGGTTACATTGCTGCTCGGCACTGATTTTTGAGCCACTTGGTGGAGCTAACTCTCTCTCTCTCTCTCTCAGATAACACTGAAACTTCTCTATCTGTGCCTCGCTCTGTTTCCCAGTGTTTATCATGCGTTTTCAGTTTAATATGGTAAGGATAAATGCTAATGGTTTTGTCTTGAAGGCAGGACAAAGGCGATGTATGCTGACTGACGTTTTATCTTAATTTTCAGCCTAATATTTTATGTTAATTACATTTATAATGTGATAAATCATGTCATATTTGTATGTTCATTACATATTTTTTAAAAATATAGCGTAAGGTTCATTTAAACTCTCTCTCTTTTTTATCATTTAAATCAAAGTGCAGAGGTATGCAGTTACTGTGAGAATCATTTAACGAAAAATATTTCAGCTCATCCTGACATTTCCATCTATAAAAGCTCATAATTCTGAAGAAAATTGTTGAGATCTCTTTCAAACCAGACTGTTTAAGTAAAATGGGATACATGTTGTTTTAGCAAATTACTCTGTATGAAGAGTTCACATGCAAAACCTCTAAATTCCTTATCTAATGAATCTAAATTAAGCATTTTTTTTCTCAGTCCAAAGGTTTATATGCTGTTATTAGGCTTTAAAGGCAATACAAATAACCTATTTCTCACTATAAAAGTGAAATATTTGAAACTACACAGGAAAAAAAAAAGGAAAAATTCTCATTTTAGAAGAATTCGAATGACATTTAGAGGCTTTTGCATCTGAACTCTTCATATATGCATCCAGTTGAAGCTCATTGAGAAAATGCTGAGATGATGATGATATATTATCTATAATATTTACCAAAACTGTGTTTAAAATGGATAAAACAAGTTTTAAATGTCTGTATGTTTCTATCTTGACTTATGTCTCCTAAACGTGTGTGTTTGCTCGTTCTGTCATTGACAGATCTTCTATCCGCCGGCTTTAGTGTGTTTGCAAGTGAATTGTGTTGCACTGAAAGAGATGCTATTAGTGTAGCTAATTTAGAAAGCAGAAATGCAACAAGCACTTTACAGGTTAATTTGTGTTGGACAATAATGACCACTCGCTAATGACCTCCAATACTGAGATCCAGTTGATCGGGCTGTATTCAGCACTGTGTGTGTATGTGTGTGAGTGAAAGAAACAGTGAGTGATTAGGCATGAGCAGTGGGATAGACTCTCGCTGTGTCCGATGCAATACATATTTATGAAATATTCCAGCACATCTCTCTCGCACACATACACACACACCGTTTATCTTCAAACCGATGCAGCCTGTAAAATAGCTGCCAGATGACACACAGGTCAAGGCAATTAATCGGCTTACCGAAATCAAAAGCATTTCTATAATTGCAGGATTCATAACAGAACGACGCTCAAATCAAATCACCGCAGTGCTGCCAGCCTGTATGAAGTTTTTGACACACCTTTTGCCATCTCAATTTTTAAATCACACCTAGAACAATCAGTCCCACCTATTTCATCTTATTCAATGTAGTATTTGATCTAAAAACAATTTCCATCCTCACTAGGAATGAAAACCATTCAAATCTTCTGAAAGTACCAACATTGCACCTCTTCTCGCAGGTGACTTGAAGTGTCTAAAGATAAAATTCAACAGTTCAAGCTACTAATTCCCTTTCTTTTCACCGAAATCCTCAAGTCCTTGAACATAAAACAGGCATTGAGACATTCTCAAAGGCGACCAAACTGTCTCTTTAGACCCTGTTCCCATATTCTCCGAAACCACCTGCAAAAGAAACTAATCAACCGTCTACTCACACTCTCTTTTTGAGCTTGCCACGTCTTTCTCAGCTGCTTTAAATCCGTCTCTTTAATCAAATAGTTCCTCCAGTGTGAAATGATCTCCACAGTAACCACTCTGCAGGGCACATCTGTCTTAATGATAACCTTTAGATTCAGCGAGCGGGAGAGAAAATTACGTACATGACTGCTCTCTTTCCGGACTCTCCTCATCCGTCTGAGCAGGAGTGAGGGACCGAGAGCAGAAGAGCAACAGAGCTGGAGAGAGAGAGAGAGAGGGAGGGACGGACGAGAGAGAGAAAGAGAGAGAGTTTTACCTCAGTCGTCTACACTCCATTGTTTTCTGCTGTGTTTTCAGCCACACTTTTATATCTTCTTAGCGTAAGCTCTACGCCTGTCACCTTCCCTTTTTAGGTTTTTGCTATAATTGTCCTGAAGCTGCTTTAAAAGTCTTTCTGCTTTATTTTTAAGTCAATTTATTTTTCTCATTCAGCTCTCTTTTGTTCTAAATTCTTCCAATTTCCCCTTTTTTCTTTCACATGCGCCCTTTTGAGTGCCAGGCAGCAGGATTGAGCCCATGATTGGCTGCCACTCATGAAAGACAGCAGAAAAATAGACGGGTAGAGAGAGCGAGAGGGAGAAAAGAAGAGGCTTTACTCCCCTGGAGCTGCGGTTTTGACTTCGCTTGCCACAGATTTTGGGTGGTGGAGGGGGGTTAGAAAGACACACTGCCCGCGACCGGGAGAAGAGGTCAAGGAGATGAGGGCCACGGGCGCTGGTACCGCAGGCAATAGATGGCGGTAGTGATCCACAGCTAATGGACGTCGCGTGATGGATGGACTCGTCGATGCTAACTGTCCAAAGCGATCCGAGCTTGATCTAATCAGGGTTCAATGACAGTGGAATGAAGGAGAAAGAGCCCATAATAAGTAAATCAACACCGGCACGAGTGAGGAGAGGGTGGAGGTGTCTAGGCTCTCGTCAGGGGCGTCATTACCAGCTACTTCTCTCCTCCGGTTCATATCAGTCCATCACCTCACACAAACCAAGCCTGTGGAGGAAACCCCAATACTTTTATTGTGGTAAAGACGAATTAAGGAGATCATGTGTGTTATGAGAGTTAAACTCTGTACAGGACTTTAGTTACTGACCAGGAGTGACACGTCTATCCTCCCTTATTTATTATCAAAATGTACAATTATTTAGGATATCTGTAAGTCTGTCTGTTTGTGTCTATTGTTTGTCCATATCTATCTATCTATCTATCTATCTATCTATCTATCTATCTATCTATCTATCTATCTATCTATCTATCTATCTATCTATCTATCTATCCATCTATCCATCTATCCATCCATCCATCCATCCATCCATCCTAACAAAAAGCCAAACTTGTTTTTTAGCATTGCTAATGATAAACAATCTTGTTCAAATCAGCATATTAGAATAATTTTTTAAGGATCTCATGTGACTTTTATCACAATAAAAAATACAATTTTAAATTGTGTAAACAGATAAAAATTTGTATATATGTAAAAAAGACAGGAAAACAGGTTTTTTTAATAGTATTTAACAAATCTTGAATGTATTTTGTATAAAAAAATGCAGCTTTTTAAAGAAATCATTCATCTCATTTCAGCGACAACCCCAAATCTGAAAAACTTGCGACAATATGGTGGACTTGTTGCTGGTAACAGTCTGCATGATTCTTATCTCTTTGGTCCGGAGCACACGGCATCCATTTCCACTGTTTCCACTGTGTGTCTCCAAGCCCAGAGAAGTCAACAGCACTTCTGGACACTGTTAACATAGGGCTTCCTTTTGGCACAGAACATTTTTAACTGGCATTTGTGGATGTAACTATGTATTGTGGTACTTCAGCAAGGTTTCCTAAAGTAGTCCTGAGCCCGTGTGGTGATATTGCTTATAAATTAATGATAATAATTGATGTAGTGCCACCTGAGGGATCAGAGATTTCGGTTGTTCAGCTTAGGTTTGCGACCCTGTCTTTTATGCACTGAAATTCTTCCAGATTCCCTGTACTTTTGGATGTGAAATTTCTCAATATCTTTCTATTGATCTTCGAAAAACTTTTTAACAATTGTATTTGTTGGCAAACTGGTGTTCCTCAGCCCATCTTTGCTTCTAAAGGACTAGACCTTTCTTGGATGCTGCTTTTGTACAAATCATTAATTACAGTCAACCTGTTGACATCACCTGTTTTAAATTACATCATTATTTAACCAATTTACCTGGTTAGTAGCCCTAAATATATCCTGTCACACTTTTTTGGAATCTGTTGCAGGTCTGAATAACAGGAATGGATGTATATTTACAAATGAAATGAAGTTGACCTGACAAAGCATGAAATACTTTGTGTTTATATTGTCTGCAATGAAATACATGTCAAAGTAAATTTGTAAAACATTACTTTCTTTTTTTTATTTGCGTTGTTCATACTGTCCCAGCCTTTTCTGATGTGGGGTTGTATATCTACATGTAATGTACGCAATGTCACACTAATAATAAAAACCAAGACAACATGAAGTCTTTTCTGACCGTCATGTCACGCAGCATTTTCAGACTCTGCTGGATGCCTGGTAAGAAATAGGCAATGTTAATAGGGGACATTTACAAAGGCACACGGACAGGAAAACGTCAGTGATGATTGGATTTTAAATGTCTAAAAAAAGCATAAAATAATGCAGGTTGGTTTCAGAATAGTGATGGGCTCAATTAACACAGCCTGTGTGCTTTAACGCTGTGCTTTGTTGTAGTGCCAAGTCCTCCTCTACTGTAATTTACACAGACTGTGTGTATGCACTTCTGTTGTTTGTGAACATACACTTCGCTGCGATAAAAGGGAAAAAGCAAGCCTTTTTGGAAGCGTTTTACAGAAATACTGTAAACACAAGGTTTATTTTCATCCTGCAGGGAATGCTGGGAGACCTGTGGCAGAAGATTACTTCTGCCAAAAAAAGATGAAAAAAATCTCTATCTTGGTTTCCATGTTCAGCACTGTATGAAAAACCAAAAACAATTGGATGCATAAAATGAAAGAAATTAGCTTAAAATCGTTAAATGTCAGAAATTAGACCCATTTTAGGTGAACATCTTGTTGTAAGTGTTGGGATAAATCACCACTAAGTGCACTGCTGCTGTTTAATTTAGCATCATACAGTGATTCTGATTTTTTTGAGCAGCTGATAGTAGATCCTCGAGCTTTATTAAACTCTATTTCCTCTTTTACAGCTCATCTCATCACTTCTGATGCCTAGAAGTGGTGTGCCATGTCTCCAGTTGGGGGCAGTATTGGGCCAATTGTTTTTTTTTTTTCACATGCTATAAATTCCCTCTCTCTGACTAATGACACTTTATTAATCCTTATCAACAATAAATAAATAAATAAGGAATGGACAATTAAAAACAGAGCCACCATTTGGCCACTGGTATGTGCATGAGAAATTGAGAGCAAAAGGAATTTCATAACTATGACTGATTATGTAAGTGAGCGCTAATTCAGAGTTCACTTGACAAAATAAACACAAATACTGTATACTTAGGCTAAATGTGTTATTACTTTTTTTTTTTCTTCTTTCCCAATTACATTTTCTCTGTCTTTATGCTTATTACTGGACACTGCAGGGGCGCCATTAACTTCCCTCCATATAAACACACATATATTTTCCAATATAAACAGCTATGTCAGAGTTGGTTTGAGTCATCAACACAGCAGGATTGAACCCGCGGTGCTTCAGCTGTTTAATATTTGTTTATTTATTTATTTATTTATTTATTTATTTATTTATTTATTTATTTATTTATTTTTCTTCATATGGTCAACCACAGATTTTTATAGCAGCACAAGACAGGGATGTGATTTGAGTGAAATCTGATGCAGAGTAAGTCAAAGACGTAATCCTCACCAATTATTAAAAAGAGCATAATCCATTGCTTATTTTAAACTTGGATGTATTTGAAAAAGTCATTTTGAGTAAGGGTCATTCGTGAAGTTTATATTGAATTGTATTAGTTGTGCAAAATATTGTCCCATTCATTTTCACACGAGTTTATACAGTAAAGGGGTAATTATAAACCAATTTGATTGGCAATGGGTCCCACAGTTTTCTATGGCCACAAACTGATTGATTGATTGATTGATTGATTGATTGATTGATTGATTGATTGATTGATTGATTGATTGATTGATTGATTGATTGATTGATTGACTGATTGATTGACTGATTGATTGACTGATTGATTAATTGAGCAGTTGGTTGATCAGTCAAATGATTGATTTTGTTGATCGTTTGATCAATTGATTGATTGATTGATTGATTGATTGATTGATTGATTGATTGATTGATTGATTGATTGATTGATTGATTGATTGATTGATTGATTGTGTGGTTTCCACACACAATAACGGCAGTGGTGATCACAGCTGATCCTTGATAAACATGGTGGGGAAAACTCTGCAGGCACGCGCTTCTATCTGTATTCAGAAGTATCGCTGGAGGAGAGGAAAAGTCATGCCAGCAGGTCAAATGGGCCACAGTGTGTGTGTGTGTGTGTGTGTGTGTGAGAGAGAGAGAGAGAGAGAGAGAGAGAGAGAGAAATGGAATACTTTCATTCTCTCAATCGCAGTGAAATAGGGGCTTCTGCTGTAAATGTCAGTAAAAGACTGATCGAGCAAACACACACGCAGTGAAACTATGCACAGTTTATGAGTTTGACATCAGCGCATAATACATAATAACAGGTTATGATTATTACTGAACCGGTACCGGATTGTCCGTGTCTGCATCACGGTGCACCCAAGAAACAATTAGTTTTGAAACCCCTAATATATA